AGGCGTCGCCGTGAGCAACCGCAAGCGTTAGGCCGTAAATCAGGCCGTAGGCAATACGGGATCCAGGGGGGGCGTTGAACTCGCCGTACGGGTCGTTGGTCATCATGTCCGCTACATCCGGTGGCCTACACCCCCCAGGTAAGCCGCCGTTGAAGCGCTCCTGAAACTCCAAGTTCAGCATCACCCGCAAGTAGGCGGCCGTGTACCCTCTACTCGATAAGTTGAAGAAGAGGTTCGGGTAGCCCAGGTTATAGGTGCCTTGATCAAGTGGGTAATTGAATATGGAAATCACTGATTCGTTCTTAGCTGTCACATCATCATCATCTTCGCTTGTTACGGAGGAACGGATGGGCACATGCACCTCAGAATTGGATGTGGCCGTAATTTGGATGCCGTTATAGAAGATTCGAATCGCGGCTGAGTCGCAGGAAATTGCGGCCAGGGGGGAGGCCGGGGCTGGTGAAGCTGCAACCGCGGTGAAGCCGCCACGGCTAGCGACCAGCAGCAGTAGCAGTAGCAGTAGGGGCAACCATGGGCTGGTCAGCACCGCCATGTCTCACTTTCTTGTCCTCAATCCTCAATCCTCAAAAGCTGTTGTGAGAGCGGAGGCTAAGGAAGTGAGAGGGAAGGGATGGATGGCTGCGTGTATCGGCTGGGCCCAGCAGCAGCAGCAGCAGCAGCAGCAGCAGCAGCAGCAGCAGGAGAAGCAGTAGCGGTAGCAGCGGCCGTGAGACACTGTTGTTGGTGATGATGTGAATGTGTCTTGCGCGGTTGAAGATCCCTGCGATCAGGAACGAACACTTTAAGTTGCGTTTTCGTCCAAGTATTGGTACATCCATTTGCCAGCATCGTTTCTCGCTCTCGAGGGCGCATCAACGCTTGAATTACATAGTATTAGAAGGAAAACTAATACGTATCGCATGCAGTCGTGTAAATTTGGGACGGCGAAACATTTATGTCGAGGTCGACACATGTATCGCTCCAACGTCTGCCGATCGCACGTCGCGCAAGCAAGGAAACGCGATGCTCACATATCAAAGTGGCTTACCTGTATCTTTATCGTTTTGTCTGGAATTTTTTAAAGCCTTTCTGCCGCGCGCGCGGCTTTTGCTTGAGCGACGTCGCAAAACAACAGCCCGACGAGTGAATAAAAGTACTGAGCGCTAATGAAGAGGGGCAGTGAAGAGCGCAAACCAGCAGACCGGCTTGGTTAAAATGATTGCTTGTGCAACATTATGTTGTCTTTTAGCATTCTTGTGGCAGGAGACGTACTTTGGGGTTCATCGGAGTCGTCTGACATGCGCAACGCACGGCGGATAGACCTCTCCAGGGGTGGCGGCGGTGGGAAGTAATACGAGTCGGCGACCAAAGATCGTTAACCTACAAGTTTCCAGATGGTTGAGGTGTTCAAAGTGATCAGGGCCTAGCAAAGCCCATTTATCAATTTGGGGCGCAAGGTAGGGCGCCGAATCCAGGTAAGGTAGGGTAGGATTAGTACGTCGTTCAAGGGTGTGCTGAGCCCGGCTAGTCATACGGATCAGCTTAGTCCAGGGATGTGCAATGTAAAGTATTGGATGGCATAATCATGTATACTTTGAGTTTTTTGCGGACGGTAAGCTCCCCTAGCTACGCCTAGCTGGGTGGGCAGAGCAGCATGTCGTATCTGCCCGATCTTGGGCCAGCAATCTTCGGCTTTCCGCAGAAAAGCTCACAGTAAGTAAGATATTTCATGATTTGGGTTTTGGACTAAAGCTAAACCGGTTCGGCGCTCCATGATGCTTTGTGCCCCTTCATGTCTTCGACCATGCATGCAAGTGGCCCCCTAACATACACCGCGGCTTGATTGATAATTATATGCGGAATGTGTATCAATAGGTCTGACATTTTTATAGCCCCTTAGGTTATTATGTTAACACAATTAATGAAAAAGCAAGCTATGCCGGTTTTAGGGTCTGCTATTCGTCTTCAGTGAAGTACACAAGGTAATCATCATGGTCCAACCCTCCCTTCCCATGGCAGCATCCTAAAAAAATTAATCATGAAAACCTTGACATTTTGTTGATTTCATGTAGTAATATACGTTTCAGGCAAGCAGCTTAGCTATCCCTCGAGACGCCGCGCAACCTCTGCCGCATTCCGAAGAATATGGAGCGGCCGGCAGGTATGCCGCGAATGACCAAAGAACTTCCTTCGTCGATGAAGATCCAACTTTACTTTCAGAAAAATCATTTGTACATACTTTTTAAGCTTCCATCGTCCCATAATTTGCTTTTAGGTAATGCTTCATGGCTTATACGGACCTGGCACAGACCCCAACCGCGGCCTTCGGAGTTAATTAATGGCATCCTATTCCCACAATCATCCACAGGTTTACAAGTTGGCGCCGTAGCAAAAATAAAACATATCCGCCCAACATCAGGAGTACAAAGTGAACAGCGTTCTATATCCGCCACACGTTACTGCCGCTGCCCCACACGCCGCCCCACACGCCGCTCGCGGAATCCTGCACGTGCGAATAACAGAAAACGATCCTGCAGTGCCTGATGCAATCTAACTCAGCAGTTCACGTTCAAAAACGCCACTGGGGGAGTGCTTTGCCCACCACGATCAGGACCTTCCATCCTTCCTGCATCCCATCGACATATACCTGAAGCCTCTGAAGCCAAACAGCCAATAGCTTCCAGGATACTGTGTGTGTCTCTGTGTTACATGGTTGGGGGTGCGTGACCCCATACCTGTAAAACTACCCACACGAGCCGAAGGCCCAAGGGCAATACGACATAATGAACCATTCAACACCCTAGGCCCTGAGGACTGCATGAGGACCTCCAGGAAGGGTCCTAAACACACGATGATGAGATGCGCCGCAAGGACAACAGCCAATCAGAGAGTAGCTCCATGATCACACCACAGTGAGCAACAAACGCGCCTTCCAATCGGCCCTCCAGGGCGGCCTTAAGCTCGGGGCCGCTAACATTCTTCCGCATTATTCCATTCTCCCCCCATATACGCAAAGTATACATGGATGCACAACGGCCCAAGCTGCGGGCTGCTGGCGCTCGCCTCCAACAACCGACGGTTTTTCCTCGCTCGATTTGGTTGTTGTCAAGTACGACAGTGCAATGCTTCGAGGCTTTCAAAAGAGAGGCGGGCAAGGAACAGAGAAATAATACGATTTGTACGACTAGGCCTGGAAAAGGTCCCAGCGTTGGGAGCTTCCCACTTGAGCTAACCGTCGTAGTCGTTGGGGGCGCGTGGGTGGAAACTGCTGAGGATGGGTTAGTTGTGGATTCTGCGAATGAGCAAATGCAGTCAGGGCAAAGAGGGGCAGAAAGGGCCAGAGTAGAACGGAGCAGAAACGAACCATTTTACGTCTTGTCGTCTAGACGGCGGTTCGCTCAGCTAGGCGTGGGTGAAAATTAGCTTAGGGCGGCTTAAGAAACGCAACACAGTTTGTGCTGCTATATGTTCGGAATGATTCTAGGTCGAAATTTTCCTGCCTGGTCGAAGAGGGGTAGAGCGCTGGTAGGGTAGGGAAATCCGCTCGATCTGCTCATGCGAATGAACCACCATCGGTTGCCTTGAAAATATAAAATTACAAAAAAGATTTATTACATAATCGAAAGATTAATTTGACGAAGCTAGTTTAGTGTTTCTGTAAGGCTTTGTGTCCCTTTGTGTTCCAGACAAGGGCCGCCTCACCGCCGTGAATGCAGGGTCTTGCCTAGCGTCAGCAGTCGCGTAAGAAGCACACGCGCGCACAGCCAAGTAATGTGTGACGCTCGCATTCCCCTACTTCAACGCGGTGCAACGCGTTTAGTGCAATTCGATGCCCATGGCAGTTGCGCCCGCCTTTCGTCTTTGGTGTTTAGTAAGCACCAGCTCATCATATGGAGGTAGGATTTATATCGGAAATCAGGGACGACTTGCGGCCGCGGCTTGCTCCGCCGGTCAAAGCCGACAGTTTTCAGTCTGCCCTTATAACTGCGCTTTATGGCAAAATCTGTTAAGAGCAAAAGCAAAGCGCCGGCACCCCCCGGCTCCTATCAGGTCCCAGTATTACTGTGGTTACCATTCTCTGGCATATGAGTGTCGGTCACGTTCCAACATGGTATCATTTAGGGAATATTATACAAGGTGCAATCACAGTCCCCACCCCGCGTACGTCTACTGTTCCTGGCGTACAAGTATATATTACCGCATCAACCGGCCGCGGAATATGGAGCGGTCGGCAGCTATCGAACGCCTGGGCAGTGGAAACCCTAAGTAAGCAAAACTTACCTAAACTTCATTCATCGCAATTTAATCAATCAGCCTGGCCTGCCGTCCCATAGTTTATATGCAACGGTTTTATGCGCTTTCAGGTATGCACATATTCCGCAAAAGCCTACAAGCAATGACAAGCCACAATCTCGTTGGATGGATAAAAATTGATGAAACATATAGCGCCCTATGCGTTTCCCCCTGGGTTGTATACATGAGGAGTGATTGTATGTACCCGGAGTCCTGCGTTCTCCCTCGTGATCCACATCCACATCCACATCCACATCCACATCCACATCCACATCCACATCCACATCTATATAACATATATATGTATACTAGGGTTTGGCACTACTGGTAAGGCGCGACCATTGCCCCTGGGTAGTCCCGGGATCGATACCCATTAGGATCAAAAGACATTCCGATGGTGGAAGGCAGTGTGCCCCTAGTTGATGGACGGTGGTGCCTTGGGAAAAAATTATCCTGCGAGCCGAGCAGTCATGGAGTTGGGCCGCTGTCGACCCAGCAGTTTCCGTTGGATGCTGGTGGTGGGTGCGGAACCTGAGCGATCCACTGAGAAGTTGACTAGGGTGACTGGATGAGGGTGCCCCCCCTGTTTCACACATCATATGTAGGGTTTCAGAGGTGGCTGTCATGGAGCTGTTCCATCACCACACAGGGTGGCAAACTCAGAACATACAACGGCATCGTTTAGCACATCGTAAGCTAATGCAGTGTCGTTCGTTTTGCTGGGCTCTGGAGGCAAACAGAGCACGAAGAGGCAAGTACCATGTCCCCAGGGGGCAGCGGTTTTGCCGCTGTTGTGGTACTAATAGCCGAATCGAGGATGAAAAACACGTGTTATTGGAATGCCCAGCCTATAATGATATTCGTGCTGAAGAGGGATTCGATCATCAACAGAGCATGTTGGAGGCCATGAAATGGGCACCAGCACGTCTGGCGAGGATGTTGGAACGTATGTGGGCTCACCGAAACTCAATTACCCCCTTTGGACGCTAGTCTGGGCTGATGTGCGGTGTTTTCCTTTCCTCCGTGGCTTTTATGCGTTGTAGTATTGCCCTTGGGCCTTCGGCTCGTATGGGTAGTCTTACAGGTATGGGGTCACGCACCCCCAACCATGTAACACACACACACACAACGGCAAACGACGCGGGAGCTGCAGGAGAGCGTTATTAGGAGAGCGTTATTAGGAGTGCGTTATTAGGAGTGCGTTATTAGGAGTGCGTTATTGGGGCACTTGCAACGTTTTCGAATGATGTCCCCAGCAGCCATGAGGCTTCAGTAGCGGTCTTGATTTTAGTACAGTACGAATGTGATTCTGGGATGCTGTACGAGAGACAGAGAACAAGGAACATGGACTTTAATCTGTCGTTGTGGTGTAGGGCTTAAGACGTATCATGAAACCTCCGAAGGAACCGAAGGAACTCAAGTTGGGGGATTTTTAGACAGTTTTGTGTTCCATATGCCTTGGGCCTTTTTCCTCAGGCTTACATTCGTTGGGGCCAGGTGCCAGGTTGAAAGCTGGTAAAAGCAGGCAGGAATCGGCAGGCACATGGACTGCTATTGGCCACGCGCAACTTTTGCTTTATCCTCGAATTTTAACAATCGTTTCATTTTACATGCTCGTTTTACCCGCAGTCAAATAGTTTTCGCTATCTATGATAGTTCGCCCCCCGAGGCGCGCGCCGACCCTCTGCCGCATTCCGGGGAATATGGACCAGCCGGTAGCTGCCACCAGCTCCTACGTTGGAGCGAACCATCCGAGGATCGAACCAGCCCCATCCATGCTTTTCTCGCAACTCGCAACCCGTTTTATCAGCCTTACGCAGTTCTTTACTGATTAAAATATGACGACATCTATGCTTCTTTTGAGAACTTCCCGCACCTCTTTCAGTAAAATTATTGCCCTTTTCATTTGTACCACGACGGCCCGCCGATTACCTTTCTTATTGGCTATATTTCCGGTTTCCTTAGCCTTGTCAGAGGTAGATGCATCTGTGCCTTTGTCCTTGCTTTTGCATGACGGAGTCTTAATATCTGGGAGAGCTTCATGCGTGATGCCGCCCCCATGAGATATCCCAAACCGGTCCGTAACTGATCGCTTCGGTACCTGGCCGCTAGGGTAACCGACACAACGAGCTAACGACCCAGTAATTGGGGGGCACCGACCGGTAAGGTTGCCGGTCGGTTACCGACCCTTTTATGCCATAGGCTGCAGGGAGGGACGTATGAAGGCAGGGATGGATGGAGGGATGGATGGATGGGATGGATGGAGGGATGGATGGAGCCGGAGGGATGGATGGAGCCGGAGGGATGGAGCTGGAGGGATGGATGGAGCCGGAGGGATGGATGGAGCCGGAGGGATGGATGGAGGGATGGAGGGATGGATGGAGGGATGGGATGGATGGAGGAATGGATGGAGCCGGAGGTCGGCAAACAAGGCGGGCACTGCGGGTCCGTACTACAGTACCCGCAGCCGAAGTTCGGCTTAAGGCCCCGTAAGGCTGCGGCTCCCTAATGGCCAAAATTTGACCAAAAAAAGTGATCCGCAGCCCTCTATTGCGGCCCATAGGGCCGCACGCTGGACTTGAACTCTGTGTTTGACTTGAATGAAGGCGCCAAAAATGTTTTTTAAGGTTTACTGACCGAAATTGTGCCCTTCCCTGCAGCCGTAGAAACTGATTTGCCGACCTCTGGATGGAGCGATGTGTGGAGGGAGGGGGTGGTATGGAGGGATGGAGGGACTTATGGAAGAGCAACCCCGCGCGGACCCCTCAAGGCGTGGAATCCCATCCAAACGGTCGCTAACGGAATCGGCCCGCGCCAGGCAAATCAAACCAGAAATAATTCAAAACAATATCCTAATTCTCTTAGTGAAGGCCGCTCCTCCAAGCACGAGAAACTGTAGTCGGCCAGAGTCTTCATAAATTATGAGGACTTTGCATTGAATGCAGTCCTGTTCTCTTAGATTCGGAAGTACAAATCCTCCTTTGGAAATTACTTGTTACCAAAACATTAGTTCGCGGGCAAGACAACAACGGATCAACCTTCGGGCCGGGAAATCGGCCGCGGAATGGCCCTCGCGGCCGACGGCCTGATAGGGTGACATCAGAGCCCTTCTCGTGCTTGGAGAAGCGGCCTATACTACAAAAGTAAAAATCTATTTTTGGAAGTTATTCCTGACTTGATGCGCGTGGCAGGGGGCGATTCCGTTAGCGACTCCAGAGTAGTATTTCACTGCCTTGAGGAACCCGCGGCGGGGTTATAGGTAAATGTTTGTAAAGCTTTATATGTGCGTGCCGCATGAGTGCGCTAATTGTCATAAAGGCAAGTACATAAGACTGGCAAGTCTGCTCACAAGAGTTCGAAACTATTTTGTGCACTTATCACGGTGTGTAAACCAGCGGAGATCCCGTAAATTTACAAAGCTAGAGCTTGAAAACCTGAGGGTTATGTTAGGGAGAGGGATGCCGATGTCTGCTTGGCTGGCATAGAAGTCGTTGCCTTTCCTAGTCGGTTGATCCGGTAGCCCGTCACCAAGACGGCGGCCGTTGGCCGTTGTGGCCGGTTTCGGGATAATCGTGATTTTCTTCTAAGCCAGACAGATTGCGCTGTAAGGCATATTTCAAAAAATAGGGCATCATCCTGGTTCTTCAGAAGTCGTATACGTTCCAAGTTATGCGGCCACAGTGGTTGCCCGAAAGGCAAAGGTCTGGTAATGGGTAATCATATCCACGCATCGCAACGGTTTGCATGATATCCACAGGTAGCATTGAAGTAGCGTGCGGGAGAAATTTACATATACAACCTCAGAAACGATCAAACGGCCACGCGACCACGTTGCTGTACGGCCACCGGCGTGAAGCGTAAATGACTTCGGCACCATTCTTTTTGCTCTTACGTCTTGAATTGCAAACGTTTGCGTGTTTTGTGCTATTTGCAGAGGTGGATGTTAATGCGCATTGACAGCACGTGCAAAGGTTGAGGACTCATTTCTTACTTCTTTGAATATTCGAAAGTGACTTTCCAAGAGTGATTTTGCCTTTCTGCTAAATGGTGGATCGTAAAGCTTCAGAGGTCCCAATGGACGGGATGGAGACCCTGCCTCCTCCGGAGGTTGTAATTGCAAGCCGCTCAGGAGATGTGCTCATCAAACATACAACGCTCAAGGCCGACCATTTCCCAAGTAAATATTGATAATCCAACCTAGCGCATTACGCAAGGCTTTGCTCGTCGGGGTAGAGACTCCGGCATGGCGCGTTTTGCATTCTTTTACTCTTGCACGCTTACGAATGCGCGTTCTGCGTTCTGTTTCGCACAGGTTGCCATAACACCAAACTTGTTCCAATCCTCGAGGGTGCTCCCAACTTCCGCCAGGTACGACGCTCTTTGCAGCTGTACGCTACCTCTGACGCCCATCCCAACGCAACCTCACGCGTGATTTGGGAAACGGGAAAGAAGGGGTTATAACCTCCCATGCTCATCGCACTTATCGTGAGATCCTTGACGCGCGTCTACTTGTGAATGGCCGGGGTGATGGCGCAGAGGATGGCGCAGACAAGCGCAGGCCTTGCCTCCTTAAGGCCTGCTCGTTCATCCATCCGTCCGTTTCCATCCATCCGTCCATTTCCATAACTTTACCACGTTGTACTTGTGCCTTCCACTTGAACTATCCCAGCTTCTACCATCTACACACCAACCATAAAAACATAACGGCACAAAATGGAACCTGCTCCCTGTCCTCTACCCAACGACCACCTCTCTCACTGCATTATCCCGTCCTAGGTGCTTTGCTCGTCAACTCAATTTTTACTCTTGCGTCCATCCTTCTATTATTCGACGGGGGGCATCTCGGTATTTCCGGAGCCACCCAGACACACCGCCCCGCAATGGAAAACGCGAGTCACGATCCGCTGTATCTAACCCAGCCAGCGGGGGCCATCACCCATCAGCCCTCCGTTCTGCCCCTCCGCCGCAGTGGGTGGCTGAGGATGCCTTAGCCTGTTGAGGGTCGTCTAAGGTGTTGAAGATGTAGCCTGTGAAAGAGCCCTTCACCTAAAGACCCAGATCCTGTGCACGCATGTACGGCCATTCCCCCGCACCTCCTCCAAACCCCCAAAAACCCCCTCAATCTCGCAAACCCCCAAACCCCCCTTCTCCTCCACTCCCACACACACCCCGCATCTAACCGACCAGGTTCCCGAAGTCCCGGTGTACGGCGTGGCCATACCCACAGTCACCGGGCTGCGTACCGCCCTCAATGCCGTGGGCGCCAACAAAGGTGCGGCAGGCACGAATCTGTCTGTCTGTCTGTTTTATCTGTCTGTCTGTCTGTTTTGTCTGTTTTATCTGTCTGTCTGTCTGTTTTATCTGCCTGTCTGTATGTTTTATCTGCCTTTCTGTATGTCTTATCTGCCTGTCTGTATGTCTTATCTGTCTGTATGTTTTATCTGTCTGTATGTTTTATCTGTCTGTATGTATGTCGGTCTGTTTGTCTGTATGTCTAACGACCGGCGGTCGGTGGGTCCCAATGACTGTGCTCAGGTGCTCGCAAAGTGCTGTGGCAGAACCTTAGGGAGGAGCCCCTCATCTTCATTAACGGTAATCCGTTTGTCGTACGAGAGGCAGATCAACCGTTTTGCAACTTGGAATACACGGGTAAGTGGGAATTGTACGGTCTCGCCATCATTGCCTGTTTAGGCATGGCACGGGAGGGCGACGGGATGGGCACCGGCCCGGTAGGCAGGGGACCGAAGGGGAATTTGGAGGTGTGGTTGGAAGTGGAAAGGCAAAGAAGTTGGGAGGGAGGTTAGGAGCAAGGTAAGCGGGAGAGGGACGTCGCCAGAGACCCGTGGGTCAGTATGTGCGCGTTACGGCTCCGCCAATCCGACTCCGTACTCACACAAAGATACGAATGTGGGTTTTCGCACCTCACCGGTCGGTCAACGCTAATACCCCAAACTCTCTCTCGTTTCCCGCCCTTTCCCTCTCCCAATCTGACGGCGGCAGGAATCGATCGCAGCCGCGTGGAGGATATGGAACGTCGCCTCAAGGTGCGGCTTTGCCGGAGGCAAAATGGCGCGGGAAGGAATTATGTATTTGAAATTTGAATAAGCCAAAACGTATTGCCGTACGTCTTATGTCCTCCTTCCAACTGTGGACTTCCCGACCACCTCGTTTGCGATGTCGCTGTGTCGCCGTATAGTCGTCCGTGTCTTCGTTGTCCACTGCTTCTTAGAGCATCATCATCATTTGTTTTTATTATTATATTGGTCAAATGCTATAATTTTTGTCCCCGTGTTGCCGCAGGAGGATATTCTGCAGGAGGCATCCAAATTTGGCAACCGCATTCTGGTCAAACACGAGAACGAGGACCTGTCGTTGTACGACCATTGGGAGCCTGTTACGGCAATGGACGTACAGACGCCCAATGAGGTGTACGCCGAGCTCCGAGGTGTGTCTGTCTGTCTGTCTGTCTGGTTATGTGTATTGTATGTGTATGTCTGTATCCTGCCTGTCCATCGATTACCCCTCGATACCCCTGTACACACACGCACACACACACACACACGCACACACACATACACACTGACGCCCCCCCCCACCCCCCTTATCCCCCCCCCACCACCGCCAGCTGACGGCTACTTCATTGATTATCGCCGTATTCCGGTCACCGACGAGAAGGCGCCGAAGGTGCGGTGCGGTGCGGAATCGGTGTGTGTGTATGTATGTATGTGTGTGTATGCGGGAGGTTGGGGGCGGGCCGGGGCAACTGGGGGTTTTGTAACCCCCCAAGGTGCGGTAACGAGGAGTGGCGGTGAATGGTTCGGTCTTGTGGTGGTGGAGGTGGTGGTGGTGCTGGTGGTGGTGGTGGTGGTGGTAGTCTTATTAGGATTCTGTGACGTGAAATTTGGGGGGGGGAAAAGGGGGAAGTAGCTTTTAGCGCGACGGAGTGATGACATGTGTGGATACAGGCGACTATGAACCGCCAGTTTTAGCGACTCGGCGCTGACAGGATGCACATCTATGGCTTTGATCGCTCGCTCTCTCTCTCGCGCGCGGGCGCGAACCCATCCATCCATCCATCCATCCGTCTATCCTCTTTTTGAAACATGATTTAATAATCCATCCATAAATATCGCTTTGCGATTCAGGACTCGGACTTTGATGTGCTCATCAGTCGCATCTGGCCCAACTTGGGCTCGTCCGCCTTCATCTTTAACTGCCAGGTACGACACGGTACGACATGGTATGACATGTTTAATTAATGGAATATGTAGTTCCCATTATAGTAGTGAGATAACTTTATGTGGAAGGGTTGCCGGTTCCACTTCTTGGAGCCCTTCTTAGCACTTCTTCCTTCTCCTTCCTCTCCTCTCTTTCCTCTCTCAACCTCCTCTGACCTCTAGATCTAGGACTCCATTGTTAAGGTTTGTTTTTTGGTTTTGCATTTTGCCACCAGGCGAATCCCGTCATATACACATACACACACACACGCAATCTCAAAACACACTCTCTCAAAACACATACACACTCTCTCAAAACACATACACACTCTCTCAAAACACATACACACACATACACATACACACACATGCCCCCCCCGCAGATGGGTCGCGGACGCACCACCACCGGCACCATCATCGGCACGTTGCTCTACCTCCGGAAGTTGGGGGCGTTCCCCCCCGGCGCCAACAACCTGCTGGGCCCTATGGGGGCCTCGGGCGGAAACGGAGAGGCGGCGTCGGCGATGCCGTCGTGGTTTCGTACGGCACTGGCGGCAACGCCGCCGGTGGGTGAGCAGACGCGCGACAAGCTCAAGTGGGGCATGTACGACGTCGTACGGAGCTTGCTAAGGTACGGAAAGGTGATGCTGTGCACGTAGTTAGTAGTACACGTAATGCGCATGTGGGTTGAGGTGGGGGGATATAGGGGGTTGTACGGGGGTTACTGTCCTGCTGCTGCCCGCCCCTAGAAGCCTGAGCAGCTGCCTCGGTGGCTGCCCTTCGTTTGGCCACCGTCGAGAGCCACTAGCGCTTTAGCCGCCTTGGCAGCTTTTCTTAATTACAGATGAAGCGATGTCATATCATGCCGAGTTTTTTTCGTGTCTACCGGAGAAAAAGGAAAAGGGAGGGATTTGGATGTCCGCCCGCCCGCCCGCTCAAATCCGCTCCCTGGGCAGGGTTTGACAAGAGCTGTGACCGAAACGTGTGTGTGTATGTGTGTGTATGTATGTGTGTATGTGTGTGTCTCTCGGGGGGGGTAGCAAAGAGGGGATGGAATGGATGATGACCCTTTAACGGCCTCAACGGTCCATTAGGGCGCTTCTGACAACTGTCAACTGCTAACCGTCTGTCTCTTTCTGACAGGGTTTTGGAGAATGGCACGGAGGGCAAGGCGGTGCTGGACACCGCCATCGACGCGTGCAGCCAGATGCAGAATCTCCGGGAGGTGGGTCCTTCCTCTCTCTTCCCCCCCCCCCCGTGTATGAATGTTTGCGGGGGGTGTGAGTTGTGAGAGGAGGGGGGGAGGGGGGGGGGGGGGGAGGGCCGGGATGGGATGGGGTTATGTTAGCGTACGGCAAAAGCGTACATTTTGGGCGGGAGGAGTAGAGAGTGCTTGGTGGTGTAGGCGTTTTGCAAATTTATTGTATTTAGGATTTCGGGATATACCAGGAAAAACTGATGGACCCTGATGGATTTTGGGTTTCGGAGTATTTTTGGAACTTGATTTTCAGGTGCTTTTTGTGGTTCGCTGTGGGCGCTGTGGTCGAGGGCGGTAACCATGTTTGTGGTTCGATATGGGCTTAGGTTTAGGGCGTGAACATGTGTACATCAAGGTTCCGTGGGCGGTATGTTCCCCTGACCGCGATGTCCCTCATTTCGTCATCTTTTCCACTCGCACGTGCACCACCTTCCATGTCTCCTGAGGCATATCGACAGTTGGTACACTGGGCCCGTACGAACTGTGAAAGTGCGCAATCTTTGCATGAGTATTGTTTTTTTAGGATTTACTCGCCTCTAAAAAACCCCCTTCTTTACCTGCGCACAATTACCTGCGCACAAACATATTCACATATATATACATGCCTACATACATGCCTACATACATGCGTACATACATGCGTACATACATGCGTACATACATGCGTACATACATGCGTACATACATGCGTACATACATGCGTACATGCAGGCCATCGGCTCGTACCGCAGTCGCTTTCTCAAGGAGATGCGAGAGAGACAGAGGGCTGCGCTGCTGGCAGTGTGCCTGGTGAGTGTGTTTCAGCAGCAGCTATGCCGTACCAGTGTGCCGTACCTCACAGTGTTATTGTGTATTTCGAATAACATTTTTGTTGAGAGGAGGCCACTGGCCGCTGCTGGGCGCGGGCTATTATACCGGGTGAAGAAATGAACGGGTTTTCTTTCTCCCCCCTCTCCCCCCTCTCCCCAGACGGCCTGATTTCCCCCCCCCCCCGCGCTGACCAACTCCTGCCCACTGTGCCTCTCCCTCGCATTCACCCCCTGTCGGCCCCCTCCCCCGTCTGGTCCCTCCCCCGTTTTCCCCCCCGTCCCCCCCAAACCCAAAACACACACACACGCGTAGGAGTACCTGGAGCGCTACTACATGCTCATCGCCTTCGCCTCCTACCTGTACTCCCCCTCCTTCAACCCCGACCTGCCCACTCAGTCCTCCTTTGCCGACTGGATGGCCTCCAGGCCCGAGCTTCGAAGGTAAAGTGAAGGAAAGGTAGAAGATTTGGTACATTCTTTTTCTTTTTCTTTCCTTCTCTCTTTTTTAACGTTTACAACCCTAAGGATGTGCATGTATAAATGTATGCAATAAAATAACCATCTTCTCTATCCATTTTTTTCTTTTCTCCTCCTTCCCCTACGCCCCAAAACACAAACACACACATCACACTCCCCAACTCGCCGGATGCCTCCCCCCCAACCTCCACGCAAACATACATACATACCAACATACAGCATCCTGATGCGGCTTCTTCGCCGCAACTCCATGGCCGCTCTCGACCTCCACGTGCCGGCTGAGCTGGCGGCCGGTGCCGCCGCGACCGCCGGTGGTGGTGGTGGTGGTTTGGGTCCCGAGGCTCCCCTCCGGGGGTCGACCACCAGCAGCGATGTGATGGCGGCCAGGAGCGGTGCAGTGCTGGGTGAGAGACATGGGGATTGGGGGGCCGGGGTAAGGGGGGGCGGAGGGGTGGGGGAAAGGGACGAACCACGTGAACGAGTGAAGCTGCTGCTGCCAAGGAAAGAGTGTACAAGTAGCAGAACTGACCCCAGGGGGGGAGGGGGAGGGGAAACAGCACTGTGGGGGGGGGGAAAGAGGGAGTGCGGGAGAGGAGGTAAAGGGTAAGGAGGAGGAAGAAGAAGAAGAAGAAGAAGACAAGAAAAAGAAGTGCGGGAAGCGGGAGGTTCATATTGTTATGGTTTACCCCCTCTGCAAAAACACCTCTTAAAAAAAGAACCTGTAAAAACTCTTTTTTGAAAAGATTTCCTCAAAAACTTACCACTTTTTTACAATCATTTTTAACACCAAACTCTATACCTAACTCCCCATCCTCCCACCCTCGCTCCAAGGTCCTTTCACCATCCTGAAGGAGGACCAGTTCCCGGGCATGAAGTCGCCCAAGATCTCCCAGTCCATTGAGGGTGCTCCCAACTTTAGGGGTCTGCCCGGAATGCCCATTTTTGGAACCGGCATGCCCTCTATCGAGGGCATCGTTGCCGTACTGAGGGTAGGTGCTGGTTGTGGGGGGTTGAGGGTTTTAGGGTTTTAAGGAAATGAGGGAGGGGGATGGCCGCTGCTGCTGCTACTGCTGCTGCTGCTGCTACTGCTGCTGCAACTGCAATGATACTGCTGTTGTTGTATCGTGCAGGGACCGGGCCCATCCAGTTGGTACGACCAGACCTCCACAACCACCTAACCGCATCTAACTGCCTGACTCCGCAGGTGGTTAGCGGCAGTACATCCCCAACCGCCAGCAAGCGAGTCCACGCATTGTGGATCAACATGCGAGAGGAGCCCGTGGTTTACATCAAGGGACGGCCTTTCGTTCTTCGCGAGGAGGTGAGAGAATTCTGCATGTACCACTGAGCATTTAGCCCGTGGGTTACGGGGCCGGGGACAGGGGGGTTTTTGGGGGGAGGGGAGGACGAGGGAGACATGGTTTATATTTTCCTTTCGGCATTTTTAGGGTTACGGGGGAAAAGCGAGATAAATCGGGTTTCGTGGGGTAAGGAGGGTTAATACCAGAGCGTCAATAAAAGTATATACTGTCCCGCGCGAAAATGGTTTCCCCCTTTCCCCCTTCTTCGGCGTGCTCTCCCTCCCTATTTTGCTTTGATGTACGGCAGCGTCGTCCGCTCAAGAACATGGCGGAGTATGCGGGGATCGATGCTGAGCGGATCGCGTCCATGGAGGAGCGCCTGAAGCGTGATGTGCTGGCGGAGGTGGGGAGGGTGGGGAAAAGGGAGGGGCAAGGTTTACATGTCTGTCCATATGTCTGTCGGTCTGCATGTACATCTTTCAGCTCATAGCTCAGTACACCGATGTGATCATAAAAATATTAGTCCATGGGCTACATTTTCCACTTAAATTCCCGTAAATTATCCCATAAAATTATCCCGTAAATTTCTTGTAAATTACCTTAAATCTCTCCTTTAGTAAAGGGAATGGTCCCCTTCTTGTTTTCTTATCTTATTCTGCGTTCCCTGGGCATTATCCAACCCCTCATTCTTTCCTCACTCCTCACTCTCCCTCACCCCCGTTCTCCTCCTCTGCAGGCTGCGAAGTTTGGCGGTCGCATCTTGTTAGCTTTTGAAAGCCAGGAGGAGGGGCATTTGGGTGAGCTCAACGACCTGTGGGAGGACATCAGCGGACCGGGGGACGTACAAACCAGCGCCGAGGTGTACGACAATTTGACGAGCCAGGGTTTTGCGGTCAAGTACTTCCGGGTTCCGGTCACGGACGGCACGTCACCCTCCGTAAGTCGTGTGTATATGTATGTGTGTATGTATGTATGTATGTATGTATGTATGTATGTATGTATGTATGTATGTATGTATGTATGTATGTATGTATGTATGTATGTATGTATGTATGTATGTGTGTGTACTTTCCCCTGGCCGTGTTGCCGTACCAGCTATCCAAAAACCCAGATGAGGAAAAATACTTCACTGTATGTACGGCATGTGTAGTACACGGGTTATTCCCCGGCAGTCTCCCCCACCCCTCTTTCCCTCTTCCCCCCTCCTTTCGCCTCCTGATTCGTTCAAGCCATGCTTTCTCGCGTCATGTCTTTGTTTTGTTTCTGAGTTTCTTCTAATAGCTCGGCCAGCTCTTCTATTGTTTCATTACCATTTTGGGAAGGACTGAAAGGAACGTTGTTATATCCGCTATTACTAGAGAAGTTCTTGAGTTTTTGCTATTCCTGCCTTGTACACCTATAAAAAATTTTATTAATGCATCATAAATTTTTGGAGTTTTCAGTAACAGCATTTTCAGATCATCTATCTGAAATGAAAGAAGAAACTTTTGGCTTGTTTGGGTGATATTCGCTTCTCCGTGCTACCTACCTATTAAGGACTTAGGCTCTTTGTCTTCTATCACAACAACTTTTATTTTAACGTCATCATGAGCAAATGCAACAGCTAAGTTTTGAGAGAATAAAAGTGGATTTTCCAACCCCGCCTTAGACTCGTAAAAGCGCTACTATTATTCCTCTTATCATTGTTTTATCGCTTTTTTATTATTCTAAATTACAATAAACCATATAAACCCAAACTGGTTTAGTTTATACTGAAGTAAAAATTATCACGCATTAAACATCCACACATCAACATTTGTATAGGTTGAGGACTTTGAATCCGTACTCCGTTCCATTCTGGACTGGGGTTTGGAGAACCCCGTTATCTTCAACTGCCAACTGGGTATTGGTCGTACAACCACCGGCATGGTGATTGCGGGGCTGGTCCACCTCTACTCTACCGGATCACTGTCGGGCGTGGCGGAGAGGTACGGCAGGGTCGGAAAACGTGTACGACCGTACGACATTGTGTGCATGTGTTCGTATATGTGTGCGCAAAGGGGGAGGAGAGGGAAAACACAGGCGCACTTGCTTCGAGGTCCCGCCGTACAATTTGCATGCCGTGCTTTGTCCTTGGATTATTTGTATAATATGCTCAATACTGCCCGCCTCATTAGCCAGTTGCCGTACATCAAATCTAACGTAATGTTTGTCGTACGCTGCAGGACGGGCAGCGCGCTTATGGACGGCATCGACGATGCAGCGCTGAGGCGCATGCTGTTGGAGGTCCGTATGTATGTATGTGTGTCTGTCGAGGGGGATTAGTTGGGGAAGGGGATTTGGGAGGGAGCTGGGTGAGGTGAGTGCTTAAATGAGTAATATTTGCAGCAGGCAGCTTAATCAGGCCCTGGTAGTGGTGCCTAATTAGGCGCAGATGCTCTTGACTTATGGATAAACCGTGGGTACGGCAAACCCCACGAAACTTTCCCCGGGGGGCTTCTAGACTCCTAATCCTGATCCTGCGGTTATGTGAAAAAACACATGTTGTCCCACAGTCCGCGAGTGTCCAACCCACTGCCCCATGGCCACGTCGCATCGCATTCAAACGTGTGTCGTATGTGTTTTTCCACTTCCCCGCCACTGTCGTACGTACGGCAAGGGTGTAAGCCCTCGCAGCGATGCCGAGGAGGATGTGGACGGAGAGCATCGTGATGACGACGATGAGAAGGTTCCCAAGGTGGGGTTTTGTGTGTCTGTATGTATGTGATGGGGGGGGGAAAGGGGGGACGGTAGTGTCTGACTTGTCGCTTTATTGATGTTTTCGTTGATGTCTTCATAATTGTCGTGCTTCATTGCTTTTGTTGCCATTGTTCTTCGTTTGTTTCTTCACCGCGTCAGATTTTAATGGTTTGATTTCTGCTTGTCTATCTATCTATCCATCTATCTATCTATCTATCCATCTATTCATCCATCCATCCAAGTATCTATCTAGATATCTATTTAGATACTTGTATTTTACTTTTTGCTATCACACTTGTTATTATTGTTGTTATTGTTATTAATGTTGCTATTGTTTTCGCCATTTTCCTCCTCTCAATCAGATTTGGGATCTGGAGCCGGAGGAGGTGGAGCTGCAGCGGTCTCTGGCGGGTGGCGGGTACGTGGGTGTCCGGAAGGTGGCTCGGCTTCTAGAGGTGAGTGCGGGGTCGTGGGGTTGCAGGGGGGGGGGGGAGGTGGGGTGTTGATGACACATACCCGCGTGGAGTAGTTGGTGGTTGGTGGTTGGTACGTGCGTAGACGAGTGAGAGGGTGCTGTCCGCCTTGGCTGGTGTCTGTGATGTCATGGATTGGGTTTTTTTCCGCTGCTACTGCTACCCCACCCCCCCCTCGTCCACTGCTCTCTCCCATTTCAAGAACGCCTATTGGTCAGTTCTACGTCTGGTACACTCTTGCCCTGGCAGCAGCTTCACTCGTTCACGTGGTTCGTCTTTCCCCCATCCCCTGGGATTGTAGGAGGGCGATGCCGCTAAGAAGGTGGTGGACCAGATCATCGACGCCGCCTCGGACGTGATCAACCTGAGGGTAGCCATCATGAAGTAAGTGGCGGCCGTCCCCCCGGGGGCCTGTTGGGGGGGCGAATGAGGGGAAATGAGGGGGGGGAAAGAGGGGGTAGACCTGCGGCACCCCTGCGGAGGGAGGGGAGGGAGGGGAGGGAGGGGAGGGAGGGGAGGGAGGGG